AAACCCGGGATAGTGAATAGTAAGATCAGATTTTGCCTTACCATGATAGTCAGTACCAAGATGCCGGCTTCAGAAGGATGAAAAATTGACTGGTCTAGGTGGGACCTGGTCTGAGATTTCACCTCCAGATCGGCCGCGTGGTAAGCGAGCTACTTGCCAATACATCACTTTTCGCCAGAAGGAGGTGCAGAAGGTTATGTAACGACAAGTGCCTTGCTCGCCATGAGCGCGCTCCGGAAGTAGACCCGATATCGGTCGCCCGAGCGAACTATGTCTGCGACCCTCTGGGTATGGTAAATTGGCACCAGGTTTTTCATGAAGGATAAAAATCCTGACTAGTTCGACAAGCCAGTTGTCAAGCGTCAGCGCAGTTACCAAGAAATTGTATAGGCCATATCGCATTCAATTCTACCCCAAACTCTCACCAAAGTTTGAAGGAGAGAAGAAAACGCCTGTTTTACTGCAAAAAAGGGCAAGCGTCTGGGTTATATCAAACCCTGTGTATTGTGCCAGCTTTCCAACTAGAATGCATTGGGCGCGATTACTCCAATGATAGTGACCCAGTAACTATCCAACTATGTTGTCCACCTCGGTGAAACGCGCTGTGCGTAATTCTTCCACCAAAAAACCGAAAATCTGGACAATCGTGAACACAATACGATTGAGCAGCGTGGATACCTGCTGATGTCCCAAGCACACAGTCCACCGGAACTGTGGTACTTTACTGAGCGGTTCCCACTTTTCCATTCCAGCTGCCCATACCGCAGTTTTTTCAAATATCTTTTTCTCTGCGTACAGCGTTTTCATCTGAAACAATGGAATTTTTCACATGAGTTCTGATATAATCACTTCTCAGCACTCTGACATTAGCCATGATTAAAATAATTTATAGTTATGAATGATGAGAACAAGAACCTTTTCAAAAGAAAAAGGTCCAGATCGTTCCTTGCTGCTCTCACTGGTCGCATAGTACCACTCAGCTGAATTCCCCTCGGAGATTTGATCTGCACTTGCTTCAATCACATTTGTCTGGAAATTTGATACTCTGCACAAATCTAAACACAACGAACATTTGACGCAGTTCGACTTGATAGGGTCCACCAAATAGTACTCAGTTAAAATTGCACCGGCTAATTTGTAAATTTCTGTGATTAAGTGGCTTACTCGCACGCTTTTCACAACATTACAGGAGTTTACGGGACTCATGAATGTGAGACCTGTTTAGTCTAAAATGAACTAACAAAAAGAGCCAGTGAGCAATCAGAATGCCTCCATCAAGCCTAACAGCGCCTGCACATACAAATACCAGGACAGATAACAATAAATTTTTCAAAGATTACTGCGTCCAGGACCTAAATCAAAGCAGCTCAACTAGATATACGATAGCGGATCCCCACTGCGCCAGATCGAAAAGGGGCGCGTACCACAACGCAAAAGCACGGGTGTGTAAATCGAGAAGCGAAGGGTACTCCAAGGTGTGACCAAGCGATAACAGTTTAATGACGTCACTTGGTTCGCACGTCGAGGGCTGTATACTATACCTCCCTCAAAGGGGAGACCCTAGTAAATCTCCTCTCTCTGCTGTTATCTCTATCAATGCCCTTCGTCTCTCTGCTTCTGCCTCTCTGCATCTATGTCTCCCCACTCTCGCGGAATCTCCCCAACGACATTCGCTGGGGGAGAAGGGGAGCATATCGATTATACTCTGCGCTGCACTATATTCGGACAGAGCAGCGGCCAAAAGAGTATGGATTGGAGTTTTACAGGAGGATATCTCCTTTCGAGGGGAAGTATAGCAGACGGACCCAGATCAAGGACACAGTCTCCCTTTAAAATTGAAGGCACGCCGCGCATTCAAAAAAGGTCAATTGTGCGGCTCAAATACTATCAACAGAATGGTAATTAACAGCATGGTAATTAGCAGCATGGTACTTAGCAGCTAAAAAAAAGCGAAAAAAAAACACCGCCGGAGATGCCCATATCGACCCGTTGAACAGCGCTTACACGTGCATGAGGCAAAGAACGGGACTGGTCGGACGAGTGCTCACTTGTTGGTATTAACTCTTCCTCCTAACACCTCAATGTCACTATTTGAAATGGAAGGAGCTAGTAGCGTAACAATCGCACCACCAGGATACCCCTAGAAATGAAAGTTGGATGATACCCTGGCCTTTCGGCGGAGCCATGGCCTCACGTAACAGGAGCAGAAAGCACCAGAGCGAGAGGGAAATAAAAATAAAGGGAATACCAGAAAAAGAAATACAAGGCCTCGAACCTGATTTTGAATTTTTGCCCGTTGAACATGAAGATGAGCCAGAGCAGCCAGATCGACTAGGATGGGAAGAAGTGAAGAACCGATTAGCTCACGCACATTCTCTTTGTTCAGAACCAATTTTGAAATGAGCAGAATCTAAAACATCTTTATTAGTTCGAGTAATCAATAAACAAAAGAAGAATTGCGGTGTACGAGAGCGTATTCCTACGCATCCTGGACTCACAAAATGGTCTCGTTCTGCTGCATTGGTACATTTGGTGAGCATGTTGACAAAATGTCGTGCATCTTCAAAAGGTCCTATTGTCATGTGATGACGGCCGTAAGTGACAGCCATTGCACGCAAACATAAGCACCTCATCTCACTTCTCGAGGACAACAGAAAGCG